CTTGTTATTGGGAGATGTTTCCAATATAAGGTGGGAATATTCTGTGGGGCGCAGATGTGAACTCGTTAAGAGTCTTCATAGGCTAGACATGTTCATCATTCACGTCATGTCTATCATTTTGATCAAAAAGGAAATATAGGACAATTACTATTTTACCCTATTCTCATGATAACGTGGCATTTCCAGAAATGTTCTCAATAGTATAAGGCTGTTGGCCCCCTAGCCAAAGTTTTTTGGTATTATTCTGTTTGGAGGTTAATAGTAACTTTGAGCATCAATGCATCATGGATGAACAACCACAATTAAAAGAATATATATCAGGATATATGTACAAGAAGAAACAACCACATACTGAGCGGGGCCTGGTTTAAATTTTCTGCAATTTTTATTCAAAAAACAGTTTAATTAATTAGGGATCATTTACGTTAGACACCTCTTATAGTTTCACGTATTTATTAAAACCTAACCTCTAATTTGCATTTTAATTATTAAAACACCCTTATATGCATTTCCATTTAGGAATTGTTCGGGGCCTCCACGGTTTTTTACTTCAAAAATACCTAATTCTCATATCAACCTTTTAGGAAACAAAACCCTCCCCCCAATTTAGAATCAGAAGCAGGCAAGGAGTGCACATGATACTACGTGTGCCATGGTTATTTTTTAAATAAAAAAAAAATGTGGACCCATATATTCGTGTTTATTTTCAGTGTAAAATTCCACTATCAATCCATATTTTCATGCATTTGTTTAAAGTGTAAGATTTACATTGAAAATTAATGTAAACCTCCACATCGGTTGAATTTTCCATTGATAATCGCTATACTTTTACATCAATTATCACATTTAAAAAAGCTGCAACCGTTCAAAAAAATTTAAACCCATCGGCATTGAATTACATCAATGGAGTCTACACTGAACCTATAGGGGTATTTAAGTAAAGTGGAAAATGGGTTTTAGTAAATATATGAACCTATAGGGGTATTTAAGTAAATGACCACTAATCAATTAATATTTGATATTATTCCATAATATTTTTTCTTGACGCCATATTTTATAATCTATAATATTTTTAGACTTGTGTCTTGGCTTTTATTCCTTAGAGAAAAAAAAAAAATAAGGCACTAGCAAGATCTTGCTAGGCAATGCAGCCCCAACAGTCGCCAATATTCTTAATTCTATTTAGCTTTCTTTTGAACATAGGATGCCACATTTGATTCATGTCCACATGCGCGCCCATGGACCATGGTGATTGTGTTAATCGGTGATGTTAACTAAGCTCCATATATAGCAGACAAAGTTGTGGGCATTTGATTCATATCCACATACCGACCCAATTATTCATCTCTTCGTGGTTTGGGGTTTCATTCATTTCCATGCCATCATGGTAATTCCTAAGCTCCATAGCAGCCAAAGTTGATTCTAACTATAGATAAAACCTTACTACCTGAGTAATATATGATATGTGAAAATTTTTTTATCCCAAAATTTACTCGACAGGTGGATATGAAATGCTCGATCTTAAAGAGGTATAGGATCCAAATTGGGCATACACCCAAGCCCATACCCATCTCGGATCCAAACAAAATCTTTGTATATAAACTCATATTCAACATGTTTTTAGGGGCTTAATCATGTATCTTTGATGTTTTTTAATAGGTCTTTTTTTTTTTATTTTGCCAAAAAATAAGTAAAATGCAGATGTCATAAAAAAATAAAAAAAAGGCATAAGAAGAAAAATGTAAACATGAAAATCTTCCCTCAACAAAAAATAACACATGTAAAGTGATTTACCTGAAAATAAATGGGTCCATAGGGTTGAATCATAGATTATTCGCTCCATTTGATGCCTAGTTAAATAGTTGAGCAAGACAAATGTTGGACATCAAATTTGGAGGGTTTCTGTCTAACTTTTAGACAAGTGGCATAATTCTTATACTAGCCCCATACTTTGTGTTTTGCCTTTAGTTTATTATATTTTAAAATCAATTCTTATACAAAATGTTCAAAATACTATTTTGGCTCATTTATATTTCCTAAAAAGCAAAAGTTTATACAAATAAAGCGGGATTAGTGGCCCCGTCATTAACTAGTTGAGCATGACAATATCGTTGCAAGATTTAAGGAGCTAGTCGGACTGTCTTGAATATAGTTTGCACTAGTCGACCCAACTTTGACCGTTGAGGTCTCCAAACTCCATTGCCACGTATTCTCTCCAATTGGAATTTGGACCGTCCAGCCTTGAGATGCAATCGTGTCTCATTTATGAACTCTCCAACTCTCTATGCATCGAACCCAAGAACCAAGAATGGATCCTGTCTTGTTCATATCCAAATTAATATGCTTAAGTATGTTATCATGCACCATCAGTCAAACCTGGTTCAACCAGTATCGTTGAAACTATGGTCTAACATACAGTGAACCAGAATTGTTTCAAGAGCTCCCGGTTTTCTTTGAACAGAGGACTCTACTATCGAATCAATTAACCTACCCGTTGTATTTCACTTCACCCCATCTTGAAACCAAATAAAGAAAGAAAAAAAAAAAAAAAAGAACAAAAACTGCTGCTCTCTCCATATTCCTGATCCATCAACACACAAGAACTCAGATTGAATCCTGCATTAATTCTTCACCTCCAAATATGCTTAAGCATGTTCTGCAGCTCAGTATCCATGAAAACTGTTGTCTTAATATACATTGATCCAACACTGTTTCAAGAGGTCACGGTTTCCCTGGAATAAAGTGTTCTTTCCTTGGAATCAACCTTTCAATTCGGTTTCACCAGTTCATAAAATAGAAACCGATCTCTCTAAATTCCCACGCAAGAACCAAGATATATTGGATTCTGCCTTCATTAAACCAGAGGAGTGTTAAGAGCCCATGGGTCCGACAGAAGATTGATCCACCCATTGGATTTCAGTGGATTAGGAAATAAGATTGGTTTGTTTCACAAATATCCATTGGTAGAATCGATTCCTGCCCTGACTGAAGAATTTTGAGAAAGGAAAAGGGATTCTGAAACAAAGATAATTTAGATATTGATTATATCATGAATAGAACACGAATCATGTTCCACAGTTGAAACTAGGGCTGATATTTACAAAAATTAGGGCTATCAATGGATTGGCTCCATCCAATGGGCCTGAATGAATCTGACCCTATTATACCAAGTTACGGGTCTGCATTAGTTTTGAGCCTCAATTGTAATAGAGTTGGGATGGTTTTAGTGTTCTAATTTTTAAATATATTGATACATACATACACATATATATACATACATATATATATATATATATATATATATGTCAGGTTAAAAGATAATGAAATCCAGATTTACTTCTCACATTGTCCTTACAAGACTTTATAAAATGAACGGCTGTAAGTGTTGCGAGAACAAATTTTGTGAGGAGTGAGGACTAAATCCAGTCTCAAGGTGATGACAATTGTGATCGGATCTTAGATCAGATCCGAAAATGCCCAGTTAATAATTGGGTCGGTTATGGGGCTGGGTCTACCCACCCAACCTTTTGATGCGCCTTACCTGAAAGTTGAAACCATCCAGATACTCAAATTTGTTCCACGTATTCTTGGCATAAAATCGTTAGTGCAAAAAGATTATATTGATTCATTTTTTTTTTCTCTTAATTCGATTAGGAATTTTTGTTACTGTATTTGGTTTACTGATATATCAAGGTAAAAAATAGGATCATTTATTAAAACACCGCTATAGTTTAATGAATGTACTAAAACCTATCCTATAATTTGTATTTTACTAAAATATCGCCTATAGTTAGCAATTGATTTACTTAATCAACTTTTTATTAGATAATAGTGGAAAATGATTGTTTTGACACTAATGTCCTTTTGAACAAAAATACCCTTTTGCTCCTAATAATAATAAGACACGAACAATCACTCTATTTGTTTTTATTTGATCAATTTTGTTCTTTGTACAATAAGTATTAGAAATACTTTTGAAACAAACAATCATGAGCCAATGCTCGAACAATTTTCACTCAATTTAGGTGGTAGTCTCTATGTGGTAAGGTCAATGAATGTCACATGCACCCTGTTCTGTTCCATTCTCTATTTACCCTTTAATGCTGTGTTTGGTTTGAAGGAAAAAATAAGAAAAGGAAGGAAAAAATAGTAAAACCTTTACAAATCTTATATAGGTTTTCCTACCTTTTCTTTTCTTTCTCTATATTTTCCTTCAAACCAAACATAATATCCCTAATCAGCAGAAGATGTGCAATCAATGAATTTATTATTAGAAACAAGAGTAATGGAAACATCAGCAACCATGTCATGCTCAGTTAGATATGGGCCAAATTTACAGGCCCAATAGATCAGACCATTCTGGGAGCTCAAATCTTCAAAAGATCTTGGGCTGGATCCGAGGTTGCCCATCCTGGTTAAGTGGTTACAGGTTATAAGATTGGATATGGGGCAAGAGGACCCATATCGGGTTCGAGGGCCCATGACTTTTTGTGGAATTGTACATGAAACTGCTGGAGTGGGCGAAGAAAATTCACGGGGTATTTCCTTGGGCTATAATGGACCCAATGAACATCTTAAAGGCCTACGAGGGCTCGGCCCATGTTCATCCCTTTAAACTGATATTTTATTAACGGGCATGATCCCAGCCGTTGGATGATGATGATGACATGAACCCAGCCGTTGGATGTTGCCGTGTTGACGAAAGAGTGTACACAAATAAAGAATAGGTGGTCCTGTTCATCCCTTTAAACTGATATTTTATTAACGGACATAACCCCAGCCGTTGGATGTCGCCGTGTTGACGAAAGAGTTTACACAAACAAAGATTAGGTGGTCCTGTAATATGACAATTCCTAGTTTCCTCGAAACATCTAACCATTGATAAAGAATAAAATTAAAGTGATTTAAATATCATTAAATGCTTCGATCTTAACGCTTTCTTTTGCCATTGGCTAATTGGCTCTTACAATTTACAAACGCAATTTCTTACAAAATATAATTTAACAGAGATTCGAGGGTATTCCTGTAATTTAATAAAAGAAATCGATCTCTCCTGTCTGTGCCCTAATCGCCTGCAATCTTCTTCTCCTCCCTCGTTCCCCAAATCTCCCGCCCTTCTAATATGTATCAGTGAGCTATGATTCTTCCTCGTTTTTCTGGTTTTTTTGCAACTGGTTTCTTCTTATTTGTTTCGAATTGGTTCTTCTTCGATTGATCGGTTTTGATTTCCCTTTTTTTTTGTCGTGGGTCGTCGGCGACACTATTCATTATTGATATTTTTCAGCAACTAGGTAAGATGGATTTTAATCTACTTTGCATCCTATTATAAGCCCTTGATCTGTGATTTTGGGTTTGTTTCTGGATTCATGGTTACTTTTTCTCTGGTTGAAGGTTATCGCGGGATGGAACCAATGGACATCGTTGGAAAATCGAAAGAGGATGTTTCGCTACCAAAAGGTAATTTCTTTATATCTTTCTGTAGATTAACTTGAAAATCTGAAGAATTAATTTTTAGGTTGTCCTCCTCTTTATAAGTTATATTTATCATTGCATTTGTGAGCCTTATAATTCATATTTTCATCTGTTAATCCTGATTTACATTTCCGAAGAAAATTTCACGAATGTCTTAAGACTAGTTCATAGCAATCTCCAGTTCTAGCCTTACTTCTGAGGTTATTTGATACTTAGAGTCAGGGATGACTTCCTCACAAAGGAGAAAATTTGAAAAGAAAAAAAGTTTGTTTTAATAGCATTCTAATCTTGGTTGCTGGGTGACACTATCAACGGGAATTTGTTGTGTAGATGCGCTTTTTTTTAACGTGACAGTAGACTGGAAACTAGAAACAAACTATCTTTTTATCTCTGATTTCATTTCCCTTTCTTTCTTTTTGCTACATAAACTATATGGTTATATGGTTTCTGTGCACGGTTTCTTTTAGTTTCCAAATTTGTAGAAGTGTTTTCTATGGATGACATGACTCCTTTATCAGTGTTATTCTATCTTAGAGTTGCAAAAGTTCCATGTCAGATAACTAGGCAAGTGTTTGTGCTCTTAACTTAAATTTTATGTCTTGCTGTTATTTTGGGGGATCTAGGCTAGGAGAAAGTAAGCATAACTTACCTAGTTAAACATTTGTTTGGGTTTTCAATCTACCACTGAGCTAGTATTTTGGAATGGAATACCATGTTTAACTGTGTATTCTAATCTTTGTAAGAATTTTATATTTTTAATCAATAACAGTCTGTGTAAGAATTTTACTAAATGTTATAGTAAATATATAGCATAAAAATACACATAAATGATTTTATCTTAGAGTTTGTCATAACTTTGCCTTGTATGTTAGCAATGCTAAGCATACAAGTTTTCTCTGTGCTTTAGAATGCACTGCAGACCATATCTATGAAATATTGTGTCATTTTAAGTGGGTCTATGCACTATCTGTATAGCTAGGTTCTACATAATATTCTTGATATATGGTGTAAGATTTGTATGGCTTACAAGAGAACAAATTTGTATGCTTAGTATTTTTCATGTAAACAGTGATAAATCTCTCCTCCAAAAAACAGACAAATATTCTTCAATTGCATTCCAAGAATCTATTTCTCCTATTGTAATTTTGACCTGTCCAGTTCACTGGGAAACTGCCTCGAGACTTATTTAACCAGGTTGGTACATCTCCAAAGTTTGTGGGGTCTTTGGATGAGATTGATCTCGACATCAATATGCTGTTTCTTTTGTGTTCTTTATCCTCTATTTTGATTAGACAGAATTATTAGGTTTTATCAAATCACAACCTTATTTCTAGCTATTTGTGTACATCAATGCAGAGATGATTAATAAATATCACTTATTGGGCTATTTCTAAGGAAATCTGTATATATGCATGAGCCTCATTATTTTCTGTGAACCAAAATTCTTAATGTTCCGATTTTCTGACTGAAAAGAAGTTATATTTTGGGGTGTCATTGTCTTTGCCTTGCCTCGGATCTGATGTCTGTGCCATGAGGTACTTCAACTATTACAAGTCTAGTAGGGATATTCTGTTTCTTATTGATTGTTAATGGAACATGATAAAGCATAAACATTCTTTGTGTATTCAGTCTTGCAGAAGCAACATACTAGTGAATGGGAACCTCTTATTTGATTCAACATCACTTCCGATATTGTTGAAATCAAATGCAACTATTTTAGACATTAATAATAAAAAAATTATCTTAGACAATATGGAACGAAGTCAAGATTTTTGTTAGTGATGTATTTATGCGAACTTGTTATTCCTTCCAGCAACTATGTTTAAGATCATCAAGGAGATGCTGCCACCAGATGTTCGTGTTGCAAGAGATGCTCAAGATCTTCTTGTTGAGTGTTGTGTAGGTGAGTAAACATCTGCAGAATTATGGATGGACTGATATATCCATGCCATGTGATTCTTTCTTAACACATGTAACTAACTGCTGCCCAGCGGGGAGATGTTTTATGGATTGGAGTAAATATAAATCTTCATGATTATTTGTCCTTCTGAACCCCTTTATTTTGACTAGTTTCTTCTAGAATATTCTGATATTCATCAGTTCATACTAACAGTATTCTACTTTGACATTACATTCCTTTATCTTTATATTGATGCAAATTAAAGAAAAAAAGTAATCATGCCATTATAATTATATATCATGATGATGTTTAGTGGAATTCACGTTTAGCTGACAACATTTATCAGATATCTAAGATCAGGTTTTGTTGAACTGGATCTTGGGGTAATGAGGTCCAATGCATCTTAAATTTAACAATTGGAGAAACAGAACATTTGGCTTGATTTGATGTACATGAAAGAAGACCTGCTTATTTAACACCATATATATTTTGCTTGCAATTTCCATATGAAACCATGAGATGGCCATAGTTTCACTTTAAATATAACGAGTGTTTCCTAGGACTGCAATGGTACAAGAAGCAAATTCTCCATTTTGTTTCATTTGGTGGATATAACCTTGTAACTTTGAGATGAAAGTTATATGTAAGGGGATTGAAATATTCTATTTAGTTTTTGCATTCATAGAAAAGGTTATAAAGAAAAATTCTATTTAGTTTTTCAGCAATTCTCCTTTAATGATTTATGGAGAAACTGGTCAGCAGTAGCAAGGTGCTCCTCCATTAAGAATAGGGCAGTTACAAGGTGGCTTCCTCCGTCTGAAGGATCTTTGAAACTGAACTTTGATGGGAGTAGCCTGGGCAATCCAGGACCCTCTGCAACTGGGGGGGGGGCGGATCTGAGAAATCAGTTTGGAGAGGTTGTTCTTCTTTACTCGGGTCCTCTGGGATTTGGAGATTGTATTATGGCAGAACTACTAGCTGCTGTACAAGGGGTGCACTTTGCAAATCAATTGGGAATAAAACAACTAATTATTGAAGGGGATTCTAAGGTGGTGGTAGGCTGGTTGAAAAAACCCAAGAGTGCTGTGTGGTGCTACAAGAATGAAATTAAGAAGTTCAATTGGCTAATAAGGAATATGTCAGTTTCTATTACAGTGGGTAGGGAGATCAGCAAATGCTTTGGCTTATGTGTTAGCCAAGCAAGGGGCTAATAGGGAAGATTTGTTCTGGGCTCAGTTATAAGTTCTGCATTTTATTTTTATTTTCCTTATAATCTGTTGGGGGAGGCTGCAGCTCGCACTTCTCCAAGGGCTGTTCTATGAGCTTACAAATCTAAATCAATTTCTGAATTAAGAAATATGGCCTAGGCTTGGCAAAAACATAAAAAACACCATCCATTTCTAGGCACAAGAGAGTAGTGTTGTTTGACGTCCTATAGGGCCTACTACTTTCACAGCAGGTAGTTAAATATTTTCATGATTCCAATAAAAAATTAGTTAAACCAGTAAGAAGTGATCTGTTACAAGTTGAAAGGGCTAGATAAGCTAGGGGCAGACCAAGAAAGACATGGGTTGAAGTAATGAGAAATGATTAATGGCCATAGTTCAATAATCTATATGGCATTGAATAGAACGGAATGGTGGGACAGGATTCATGTAGCTGATCCCATATGGTTGGAACAAAGCTCAGATGATGATGACTTCAATTGATAACATTGGTAGGACTCGGGCTCCTATGTAAGTACCCACTTAAGAGTCTCATGGACACAAACATGGAAATCAGAATTTCATGTGTATCCAGGAATCTGACTCAAGAAAAAACAAGGACTTGCAGGCATATCTATAGAACAGTATAAACTATTAAAATAATCCTTTTTTTTTTTATTTTAACGTTATATACCTATATAAGTGGTCTAGAACTTTATATTTGTTACTTAATAATGGTTTCTAGAAAAATGACATTCATTGGGTATATTGGTTATTTATTTATGTTAAATGAGAAAGTAGATAAAGGAAATATTATATTGAAATGTCCATCAAGAATCCATGGAGTGTTGGAATCCGACACGTCCAACATGGACACTTCGTCCACTTAGGATAGTCTACACAACACTTTAAGAAAGTTTTTTTTATTGGTCTACTATAAATTTTGGAATTTATTGCAGCTAAATATTTATTTGTATTAGAAGATTGTTATTTCCCTTTAATTTTTTCACCTACAGCTATTATAGGGTTCAAATTCTTAGTTTTATGTTTATTGAATCAAGCAACATCTACCAAATAGGGTTTCAATTACTAGGTTCATTGGTTTCTGAGTCCCTGATGCTGATGTGGACCTGGAATCAATGTATAACTCAAGTTCTGTTTTGGCTTTTGGGTATTCTCAGATCAAAACCAGACAGATGTGTTGGCTCTGCTACTAGGTAAAAGGGTAGGGCAGTCTCATAGAGCTATAAAAATATTCATATAAGCTCCAACTGCATGGAGCTGAACTCTGCAGTTCTGAAATAAACAAACTTGAAACTTAATAGTCAGTAACATTTGTGTCTGTGACAGAATCAGAGAGCTGAAACATAATTAGTATATGCCTATTATCTACTATTTAGAAAAATCTGATTTGGGATGGTGCATATACACAGTCTTTAGTCTTTACATATTGGAACTCATAATTCATCTTCTTATTCTGAGGTCACTTTAGTTTCATTATGCAATATGGCAGAAGGGATAATTTATTTACCCTTGTTTAATGGAAAAAATAAAAATTATGAATACTATTTGTAGGGAAAAGTGCAATACACAATGTGGTAATGGATATATGGGTTTATGTGATAAGATCACTAAGACACATAATCTAGAGGATCCCCCATCATAAGGGTAGCTTCGATCTCCCTTGTCAGCTATCCACATCAAAAGAAACCTACAACTGCTGAAGAGTCATATAAAACACAAGATACCGTGCACTGCCAAAAAAAGATACCCTGCAATTTCTTCTATGCAGTGTCACAATATGCTTTTTCTTTTACCCCTATGCTGTTCAGTATCACAATATGTTTGTTTCTATCTTTTCTCTGTACTTTGTTATGCATTGTGAATCCTTGTAAAATTATTGACCTTATATGCTTTCTGCAGAATTTATCAACCTCATTTCCTCCGAATCAAATGAAGTATGTAGCCAAGAAGAGAAAAGAACAATTGCACCTGAGCATGTTCTGAAGGCTTTAGAGGTTCTTACCCACTTCATTTTCATGTGTAAATTTAAGTTTTCCTTTTCGCGCTCATGTTACTCTTTCATGTTTCTTCTGATGTATCCACCTAAAATTCATATTTTAGCCCTTTATTTATTTATTTATTTATTTATTTTGATATCTTGTGAAGGGCTACACAACAGGGGTAGCCTATCCCCCAACCCATAACTCCCCCCTCCAACCCAGGTGCAGGCAGGATTCGATCCCAAGTCTCCGCTATGACCAGCAGGAGACCTTACCAACCAGCTGATTGGCACCTTGCATTTTAGCCCTTCAATGTTAAGTTGCAGTATTTGATAAATAGTAATTGATGTATGCATCTTTGTTGATTACCTTCAATGTACTCAAAAAGAGCTGCTTATGCAAAGAGCTATAAGTAAGATTTTAAAGGGTTGTAGAGACAAGGCTTTTAAGGAAAGAAATAGAATGAGTACAGAAAAGGGATAAAGCTGGTATAAATGTGACTATACTGTTTTAGAATTAAGAAAAGATGGGGCTAAAATGAAGCAACTTGAAGGCAGTCCTGAATTGGCCAACAGCCATTTGCATCTTGAGCTTTCCCCATGCAGAGAACTCTGAACTTCTTACTTTGCTCATCTGCCATCAGATGTTAGGAGTCTATGACACTAGTTCGTCCATAATTTCCTTACTAATGATTATATTTGTCATTACAGCACTACTGCCCAGTCCTGTATTAAAAGAAAAAAAAAAAAATCAATTTTGGCAGATTACAGTTTACCAGGTTTATAGACAGATTGTCATTAGTTTGACTTGTGATCTGTTTATAAAACTTGTATCAGGTACTTGGGTTTCACGACTACATTGAGGAAGTTTACGCTGCATACGAGCAGCATAAGCTTGAGACTTTGGTAAGTGTCTTAATAATAACTATTCCTTTTCTTCTTTACTCAGTTGCAGTTAGTTTTGTGAATAACATACACCATTACCCGTGTTTTTTTCTCTGGACAGGACTCGCCCAAAGGTGGTAAATGGGGCAGTGGAGCCGAGATGACCGAGGAAGAAGCTTTGGCAGAGCAACAAAGAATGTTTGCAGAGGCACGTGCTAGAATGAATGGTGGGATGACCATCCCCAAGCAATCAGAATCAGATCGGGGCTTGGAGAGTTAAGGATTTCTATTGGATATCCTTGATGGTTTCATGTGGATTTTGCTTCTCCTGTAGTCTTCTGTACATAAGGCCTTTGGAGATGCAGCAGCCGTTAGTAGATTTGCACTCTTTTCTGTATCTACCCCTGAATTATGTAAAAAAAGAAAATGGCAAACATGTTTCTATGTTTATGTTTATATGCCCCTTAATTTTAAAAGTTACAGAGTTCGGTTGAAGGTCGAAACCATCGTTTCCTCTTGCCATAATGCCATACCTATAGGCTATAGTTCACTTAGGCAACTAATGCAACACAAATGTCACCATACAAGGTTTTCCTTCACCTCCAAAAGTTTAAAGAGTTTGTTTCAATTTGCTTTCTGCCAGAAAAATGGCCTGGAAAGAATTCAAGAAGCATAAGATTCGCTTTCTGTAACAAGAAAACATCTTTTTGCTCGTTTGGTCATGCAGATTTTCCAACATTGTCAGAGCCGTTAGATGAAGTAAAAGTTGACCATTTTATTATCATGAAATTGTGTTGAATCCTTCAAGCAAGTTTTTTTTTTTTTGAAGATGAATCCTTCAAATAAGTTGAGTTGTGACGAAATCGCTCTAGCTTCACAGAGTTGACAAGGGCAATTTCGTCCATCTAAGTTGCTTCCAAGTTTAGATATGCTTGTTAGTAAAGCTGGTACTTGGTACTTTGGTAGAAGAAGAACCAGGTCGTGTCTCCTTTCCTTAATTTAACCCGTCTAGAGCTCTATCAAAAATTTCAATATGTTCCATTGCCCGTTTCAACTTTCACCTTCAGGCCTCAGTTGAAGTAAAAGGAAGCGCACCATCTATGTATGATGGTATAGATACATGCCCTCAAGGGGCGGGGCACGTCTTCATAGGATTTGCCCCCACAAGTTTCAATTGGGTCCAAAATTAATCATGCATTAAGTTGTGAATTATTAAAATGTGCGTTTATTGTGTGTTTGTTCATGGTTGTCTTTTTGCATAAAAATTAATTAAGTTTTATATATTTGCAAAATTGGATACATTTACAAAAAAAAAAAATTGCAAAAATGTTGAGCACGAAGAAAAAAAAATTATTAAGACTAAAATACCCCTGATTTAAAAGCCCCCTATGATGAATTTGCAAAATCCATTGAACAACTGATGAATAGAATAGGCATTAATAGTTTATGTGTAACAATAAATAGAGACATTAAATAGTTGCAAAAATATTAAGAATGGAAGAAATTGAATAGTAGTGGCAAAATTAAAAGTTGAAGTTGCACATTGAGTTGTTACATTCGGGAGATTATATAACTAAAGGAAAGAATTACTATTCATCTTAAACTAAGAAGAAATTGAATAAATTTACAGCAAAAAGGAAAAAAATCCCAAAATGAATAAAGAGTTCAAGAGGAAAATAAAAATAAAAATAAAAATAGAGAGAAAATAAAAATAAAAAATAGATCTCTCTCTCTCTCTCTCTGCTTAAACAATGCTGCAAATGTACAGGATTTGGATCTTTTTTTTATTCATATAGGATTCGGGTCATTGACAACATGGGAAAAAAAAAGAAAAAGTATAGGATTAGAATTATATATAGTGTCCAAATTTGAACCGTTAATATTTGGATTTGAATGAATTTTAAATAGGATTGACAATATTGGACACGATATGTGAATACAATTTGAACACAAGTGGTTTCGGGTTTACCTTAATCATACAATTTGACAAAATTGTATCGACCCCGTTTTTAATACAATTAATAAGCATGTTGATTTCAAATTAACCACTTAACTTGAAAATGACCTATTTGACCCAACGTTTTTAGATCACATGTATTGTATCTTTAGATGAAATGCTATTATGGTAGATAGCAGATAAATATAACATTGAATGGTTTTTATGAATTTGTTTAGTTTATGGATGATTGAATGTGTATTTACTATTTAAGTTACTTCTTGTTTAATTTATACAAGTTAATCGTGTTGATTTTGTGGGTTACATAGGTAGTGTTATGATATCTGTGTAATAAATAAGTTATCTTCATGTTTGAAAATTTGATACGATTAATTAATCATATTGTATTCGACCCATATATTTGAATGCCCTCACCTACACGACACAACCATAATACAAGAACAATAATTTCCACTCTTAATTTTAACGGTTACTCAAATCAAATTCAGGTTGGATTCAAACTTGCATTTCAACCGTTGGGGTCATTTCAAATCTTAGAAACAGCCTCCTCCCCCCTCCCGACCCCACATTGGTAGGACTAGGAGCCTCGTGCACTTGAGTCCATAAATGATCATCCACAAGGTCCATCTCCACTACTTGTTACCAACTGAAGCGGCTGAAAAATATCAATTCTGAAGTCAGCATTGTCATACATGATGACCGCTGAGCTTTTTTCTTTGCTCATTGCTATCCTATTGAAGCCCACCGGGTTCAGAATATTGAAGCCACAACTCTTCTAGAAAGCTTTCAGTTTACTACTTCTCTTGAGATCACTTGGGCTATTATTGAAAGTGATGCGAAAGTTCTGATTGATCTCTTGTTGGAGAATTCTACATCTCCTTGGAGTGTTTGCACACTCATCCTTAGTTGCAAGAGATTTTTTTAGCACCTTCTTGATTAATCAGTTTGGGCACATGCAATATTTTTTTCAATATTATACATCATATAATTTAAATTTTCATTTTTTATGCCACAATATTATTCTTTAGGCCATGGGTACCAGTCGGGCTTGAGCCTGGGTTATCTTCAAATTTGTAATTTAAGGTAACTTTTAATTTTACACTTTCTATGTTTCAAATGCATTAAGATTATTCTTTATTTCAATCTTAAATTTAATTTGTAAAATTTGTAAGAGTTTTCTCAATATATCCAAGCCTAACAATATCTTTCCACTGTATCCATGCATATCCAAAGCATACCGCAATACATATCTACACCCAATACAATATATGATTATGATATTACCATGTTATGTTTATAAAGTGTTGGAAAATTGTGTAAGTAATGAAAAATTCATGTGTACATTTAGAAACCAAAATAAATCTTATTAAGACAAAATACTAATTTAATATACTAGTTTAATTGTTTTTATTTTTTATAAATCTCAGTGGTATTCAATACACTGATTTAATTAATTAATTAACCATTTAAGATGATATGGTGGTAGCCAAGTGAAATTTTATAAGATGTGATTTAAAAAAAAACAAAATTATTTTTAATAGATTAAAAAAATAGTTATTAAATGGGCGAATAAGGTTCCAATCCTTTAAATTGTTTATGATTTTAATATATGAAATTAGAAGAGTGGGTTATTCAGTAACATGCTATTTCATGGCAGCACGTTTGCATGTGAGCATCTGTAACCTTTCAGCATTTCCAAATTCCAACTTTAGGAGTATCTTATGCCAAATACAAATCCCATGGTACTTAACCAAATAAGAAAGGGAAAACAAAACACCAGACAGCTTACCTTTGATACCGTAATGAGTTACTTTACAACTGAAGCTCCTATATTCGCTTAACCTGTGTTTCTCATGCCAGCAGCTATTCCATTGATGGTGATAAGAAGTGCATCTCTAAGTTTATTGTTATCTTCATCACATCGCAACCTCCTCAATATTTCCACCTGTAACATGTTAATTGGGTTGAGATATGGGAGCCTACTCTCTATTAGTCGTCTCAAGCTCCTGTTGTTCTCATACAGCTTCTCATGGCCACTAACAAGCAACACATACTTCTCTGTTGTCAAGAGTTCCCTCCTTAGCTCTATACCAAGTTCCTTCCTGCTCTCTGATACAAGAACTTCATCATAGTGCTTGGCTATAGGGATGTCAGCCTTTGCCAATACCATCTCTATAAGGTCAATGGTGGATTGAAAGAGAGGCCATTCTTTGTACATTGCTTTTAAGTCCTCTGTGTGTCCCTTCTCGCATGCACCCTTGAGGCCAGCACCAACCCCAAGCCAAGCAGGAAGCACAAAGCGTGTTTGGGTCCATGCAAACACCCATGGTATGGCACGAAGATGCCCAATTCCTGTTGAGCTTCTTCTCCTTGTTGGTCGACTTCCAATATTAAGAAAACCTAGCTCAGCCTGTGGTGTAGCCTCATTAAAGTAGGAGAGGAATTCTGGGTTGTCATACACGGTGCTTCGGTAATTATTGCTACTTATTTTGGAGATCTCTTCCATAAGATTGCGCCATTTATCTTCTCGAGGTGAGGTTGGAGGACGAAGAGTGGCAAGCAGTACAGCTGTAGTATATATTTCCAGCTGCCTAACAGCTGTTTGGGGCAGTCCAAACTTGGCTTGCACCATCTCACCTTGTTCTGTTGAGCGGAGTGTTCCCTGCCAATTCAAAAGAAACACCCAAATTATTACCACATAAGATCAAACTACAACGAGCGATCCTACAATGAGATTCCTTCATCATAACAGTTATGGGTGCCTTCCCTCTGCCATTGGGTGCCTACGTATAGAGAATTGGGACCCACCATCAGACAGGTCCCACTTCAAAGATCTCCCATATTAGAAAACAACATGATCAGATGATTTAAGTACATTATCAAGTTAAAATTCAGACTCTATCAGATGGTGCGAGTAATTTTTATTAGGACTTGAGAATAAATCAAGAATTTGACTCGTATGTAATCTAAAATTGCCGGCTATACATTTTCAATTGAAGAATAATCTTGCTAAAGATCTTCATATCTGAATGACTGGGTGCAACCCACACAGGTAGCACTTGAGAATAATCCAAGAATTTGAACCTTGCATGTTGTCTAATATTGTGCCAGCCCTATATAGTTGGGATAAGTCTTGGATGATGATGATGATGATATGTCATCTAGTATTGCTAAATGATGATGATGATGATGATGATGAACCTTGCTATATGTCATCAAGAATAATCTTTGTAAAGAATATCCCAATATTTTTAATGTAAACCCATATTTTATGGATCTGAGTTCTCTATGCATGGGGCACATATTATTCATAGGAGTGCACCTCATGGCTTTTATGACGAGGATTCTTCATTGTAGCACTTCTCCCTGAACAATAGATTGTTAGCCAATAGCCATGTGTTTTCATATTTTCCAGCCAGACACTAGATACAGGTGGAAACAGTTTAGTGTCTTACAAAAACCAGATTTTAGAGATGGAGAAAATATAAGAGAGAATGGGAGAGAGATTATGAGGCTTGAGGTATTAATGCTTAATGATGGGGATATCAACGGAGCAGGTTAGGGGTAATTGCTTGGTGTAATCGTAAAATCTCAAGCAGGAGTGATCATTTTCAGCCCAGTCCAATCCAAAAATTTTGTGCCAGGCCTGAGCCCAATACTTTAGGCCCAGCCCATAATCATTCATAGGAACATGGGAGAAGCTCCAATAGGTGATAAATGAGAGGATGTAGACTAATATGGTTTGGTCATGTGCATAGGAGACTATCAACAGAACCTGTAAGAAGTGATTTATTACAAGTTTAAGGGGCTAAAAGGGCAAGGGATATACCAAGGACATGGGTAGAAGTGGTTAGAAATGATTAAATGCCAATAGTATAACAATGGATATGGCATTAAACAGAACAGACTGGCAAAACATGATTCATGTAGCTGACTGCATATAGCTAGGATAAGGCTTGGATGATGATGTGCCATTTTATTTTATATTTAATATTATATATAAATATTATAATATGATACACAAGATAATTATATATAATATATTACACTACATAAAGTATAACATAAATTTCATACATATATTTGTTGTTATATATTGTATATATTTAATGTTTTTTTTATCAATAACAGCACTTTTATTAAAAGAGATATTTGTATATATTTAATGTTTTATAATATATTTAATACTTCAAACTTGAAATGCCTAGCCTGGTTCAGGCCCATGAACCCATGATCGCCCCTAATCTCAAGCTGACAAGCATGAGAACGTGGGTTCAAATCTGAGAGTAACCACTTAAAAAAACTAAAAAAAACAAAGGTTAGGACTGTGTCCAGTCCACCCCTCTCAAGACCCTAGATAATCCACCTCATTCCTATCGGGATGGCTTTGGTATGAATCTAACTAGGTTCAGGTCGAGCTAAGTAGTAGAATGCCAACCATCACAGGTTAGAATATGATGCAAGACAGTACTAAATTATCATGCCAATATGACATTAAGTATTTAAAGCATTTTATATAGATATAGTGCTTTATGTGGATATCAAGTATTCTTTTATATTGGTGTAAAAGAAAGAAACAAGCACAATTGAAGTTTCTTAACTGAATAGGCAGACTTACCATCACAGAACCAGGAGGTTGGGATTGTATGGCAAGATAAGTGGGTCCACCACCACGACCAATACTGCCACCACGCCCATGGAACAATGTAATTTTAATTCCATATTCTTTACAGGCAGCTATAACATCTTCTTGGGCTTTGTAGAGTTCCCACGCTGCAGTAAAGCGCCCAGCATCTTTACCAGAATCTGAGTACCCAACCATCACCTGTCCACAACTACATTGTAAGTTCCACAAACCCCATGGAAACTCGATAAAAGAATCACCATGCCATGCTCAATGCAGTACAAACCTCTTGGTGCCCATTATGGTTTTTTATTATGTGCTCCCGGTACCAATCAATTGATAACAACTTCCTGATCACTGAACCAGCTGCTCTCAAGTCTTTTACTGTTTCAAATAAGGGGACCACCCGCAACCTGTTCCAACTTTCAAGAATGATTTAATTAACCAGAATGTATTAATACTCTATGCATGACTGTATATGCAACACAAACCAGGGATAACATGTGAAAGTGAGTACATGTTAGATTTCAGCAATCTAACATACTGTACAATTGATTTGAGGGAAAAATTCATTGGTTTTCCCTTTTGTATTTCCTCAAAAGCATCTAAAGATATTATCAGATGTATCAAAGTAATGCAACTCATAGATCAAAGGATTCCCTGCATCTTGGATGTAGGCCAAGATCAGTAGATAGGTGGCTAATTCTTGTATTCCAATGCTTTCTGGAAAGAGAATATGGGGCTCAATAACTACAAAGCTCATTCATCAAAGTAAAAAAAAAAATGCTTGGGTAATGGGGGCAGAATCTTACGTTCCCTCAGGGCATGGTCTTCCAAGCTCCCCACTAAGGGCAAGCCGGGCATCTTTCTGTAAGAGCTCCACAGCAAGGACATCACTTGCCTGTCAAATTTAAATATGAGTCAATGTAAGTTTCTGTAGGAAAGAGATTAAAGGTAAAAAACAACCACTAATATACCCCGACAATTGGTTTACCTCAACGGTCGGGTTCGACATGGGTTTGGCTCAAGCCAAACCTGACCAAAGTCACATTAACTCAGACCCAACCTGATCCGACTAAATGGAGAGAGAGAGAGAGAGAGAGAGAGAGAGAGACTATCGAATCCTATGCAACCTGTCCCATATATAGTACATCTATACTCAAACAAGCCTATATACAGGTTGGGCCCAGCATGGGTTTACCTCAATATGAAACCTAGTTAAGACTTACCTGACCCTATATTTGGGTCAGTGCAGGTTTACCACTGACATCCCTACCTAGGAATTAGCTTAACTACAAAAAAAGAAAAGAAAAAGAAAAACCTTGCTGTTACATGTATCCGTTAGTTTTCTTACAGCCACAAAACCAAAAATTTAACATCAATGGTCAACACATACATTAGAGGCCATGGAAATCACATATGCTCCAAGAGAATCACTTCCTAATTCAGCTGCAACACGGAAGGTGTCCAATACTTCTTTCACATCTGGAGCAACCTGAAAAAAAATCAAAAAGTAGGAGTAAATTGACTAATGAGGTCCAAGTTTCCAACTCCATATTATGGAAACTGTTCTTTATGTAATAAAGTGTAGTTCCAGGCAGGAGATCGCACTATCAGTCTATCCTATCTTTCAATAAAGTTCCAACTTAATCAGCATACTGAAAGGTGAAAACTCCAAAAGTACTTTCTTCATAAAGAAATTCCTGGACAATGACACTTAAAACATCGAGAAAAACCAGAAGTACAGAGCTGGATAATCGAAGGAAACAAGGGACTCTAGATATAGTTATATATATGCACAATATTTTTTTACAATAACTGTTGAGGATAGCTTTAGAGTGATAAGTGTATTTGGTCTAAATTTCCCTGCACTCAAATAATCAAAACAATACATTCTTGTTATTTGGCTATGGTAAGTCCCAAGAGCAAAATCATGGCAACCCTTCTGCTCTTAGGAGTGCCATCTCTAAGTTGTAACCTGTAAACATGGTCAGGTTGACATTATATTTTTTTATCAATAACTCACAGATTTCATTAAAATTAGAGAGAAAAGATACAATAGTACAAGAAAAGGGAGATAAACTCTCTTATCTCACCTATCCAAAACAAAAAGACGAGAAAAAATTACAAGATAGCCCAGAATAAAGAGTCCCTAGTCGCCCCTTGTTTAGCTAACCCATCAGCAAAGGAGTTGCCACTTCTTTTAACCAAACCCATCTTCACCTCAATATTCTTAGTTAAAACCAATTGAATTTTCTCCTCTCATTGCTGTAGTTCCAAAAATTAGCAGTATCATTTTTCAGCCAACCCACTACCAGTTTAGAGTCACCCTCTATGACCAATTTGGTGATGTTCAGTTCAATTGCAATGGCATCCATATTTCTTTTTCTCATATCTTGTATACACTGAGAACTCATGCCTTTCAACTGAACCACAAAATGTAATAGATAAAGGTTTAAATGCATTGGGAAACAATAAACAGGTGAGTTAAAAATGTTTGGGTATGATACAGCCCTAAGTTCACAAAATATTATCATAACCTCAAAGTTTTCTGTAGTAAAATGTTAGTACTGAGTCAGCCCCGGATTGTATTTTCAATCTGATTTCGGTTTATTATTAATCCTGTCTTTCAGTAGCAAAAAAAAATGTTAGTATCATGTAATGGATGTCTCGTACTCTCATCCTCTGGCTTTATGCATTCATAGAGGAGACTGGCTGCAATTCAGAGTACGTAAATGAAACTAATGAAGTGTCAGGCAATCTACTTTGTAGAGCTAAATAGTACAAACAAGTTCCTGATAGAGAAGCCTAAGCACATAGTTTTGTTATTTCTCAGGAATGAATAAGATAATTGCAAAGAAACATTGTCTTTTCTTCCAATCCCATAAAGCAAATATAAAGCATAGAGTTGGACAATCAAATTCAACTCACATGTATGGTTGGAGGAACTAGAGGTCTCTTTCCCTTGAGTTCCCTAGTCAAAAATTCCAGTTTTCTTTCTTCGTCCCACTCACTATAGACACCCATGTCCAAGTATTTAGCAATAGCATCCAAAGTTTCAGTGTGTCTTCCAGATTCCTGATAAACGAAAATGGAAAACTTAGTGTAGCTAATTAAAAAAGTAACTCATGCAACTTAGAAACCAAAATAAAACACACCTGACGCAAATCAAGCTTCATTAATACCATCCCAAAGGTAGCAACCCTTCGGATCAAGTCTGAAAGACGCCCATCAGCAAGGACTCCAGATCCACATGATTGCTGCAAAAGATTGATTACATACATCAGTATAGAATTATATAGATTGTAAATTTAGAAGAAAAAAAGCAGTTAAAAAAAGGTAAAGAAGGCCAATAGTCCATCTAAATACCAGGGACTCGTAGCAGAGAAGCAGTGGTTCCAAAAGTTGATCTGTCGTCTGATAGTAATCCCAATGATCATGGTCACAGGGAAGATCCTCAAGGAGAAGCTCTAGCCGTCTTCTTGTTCTCATAAGCTAAACTCAGAAGGTACATTACATGTTTATAAACATATCATATACAGAAATAATTTATTTCAAAGTTAAAATAGCACATTTTGCTTTTCTAATTATAGCAATGTAATATATTGGTAACCCAGCTATGATGATGGTGATGTCGATGCATAGATAAAGTAGATAAATCAGTAGATGAGATTTAACTGAAAATAAATAGAACTTGAACCATCTATATTATAGGTATTTATTTTGCGGTAAAAGACTTAAACCTCCCTTGAGGTTTCTGGTAAATACTGAAACCTCCCCTCACTTTTCAAATTGGACTAAGGCCTCCCCTGTTATAGTTATGTCTAATGGGATCAACAAAAAGTCTTTTTTGCCCTTACTAAGCTTATAAATTTTCAAAATAGTGGAACCCAACAGCAGTGATTATCGTTGACTCCTCTGAGAAAAAATGGTCACTAGAGACGAAATAGATTCATTGTTTTCTTGCTTGCTTGTATGAGAAAGCTGTCCCAGAAGTATAACCTCTGCCCATATATAGACCCACCATGTTCTCAGAAAACTGAAAGAGAGAAGGAATCATTAAAGAGAAGTAGAGAAAATAGAACAACCCAAAAACAGAAATCAAGACAAAGAAGTTATCAACCATTCTCTATGGCCCTGAAAAGTGTCATCCCCATTATTTGTGTTTATCAGTTACTTAATAAACACTTCCAAATCCTCCTTCACCCAACACATGATCCAGCCTGAAATTCTCTGTTATTATCTTTAGCTCATTGTAAGAGAATGCAATCAATGGACCAACACATAATTCACTGCTTTTCTGGAAAGTAATCAGAAAGAAATAACGTATCAACTATCAAAATAGAAAGATAAATAGTAAAGGAAAAATATCTCCCTTCTAGAATAAGTATCAAAATTATATTTAGTTTAAACATGAGAAAATACAGCCTAGATGACTAGATTCAAAAGCCAGTTCTAAGCAAAGCCCGCTTATAGAAAATCAGACCAAACTTTTAAGTGAACATAAAGGAGAATAAGAAAATAGAACCTTTTTGTTAAGTTTGAATCAGAAGGTCACATAAAAACAAGAAAATATTCAAAAAACCTAATCTGATTCTGTGAAGAAAACTAAGAGCAGGAGACCGAGAGAAGAAAAACAAAAACAGATACAAAACAAAAACCAAATATCCAACAATTATGAACTTTACTTCAATATAGTGGCAAACGAAACATAAACCATATTGAAATTTCTTATGGAAAGTAAACAAATCATATTGAAATTTATCAGTTATTTTCTGAGTCATTGTCAAAGGAACACAAAAGGGCAAATTTGGGTGTTCAAAAAAATTAGCAACATGTGATATCACATGGTAATGGATTTGGACGGATTGTTAAAGGAGGGGAGGTCTTTGTCTGATGACGTCATCCCACAGGAGTCCAATTTCAAAAGTGAGGGAAGGTTTCAGTATTTATGAGAAAAGGGAGGTTTAAGTCTTTTACCCTTTATTTTATCTGGTCAAAGATAATAAGGTTATTATCTCAAATCAGTATGTATGGAATCTGGTTACCTGCTCTGCTATCCAAGGTTCAAAATATCGATACACCCCGATATGGTGAAAGGGGTGCATTGGTACTTTTAACCTTCCGCTTTTTACTTTTTTTAGTTTATTTTCAAAATTTCGGAAGTTGGCCATTTTTATGTTATCTAACTATTAAAAAACAATTTTCTTAAGATCTATTAAAATAAGCACCTCAAATGAAAAGATACAATATGATACGAACGACATGGAGCATATTGTGTCGAAAATTTGAAACTTGCTGCTATCTATTTAACTGAAATCTAGCTAGTAGCTACAATGTCATTATTGAGGCTGATCAAAGATATTGTTACCTTATCTTTTACATTCCCAAGCACAATTCTATAAGGAGCTATTCCAGGACGTTGAGGTAGGCTTGGCTCTAGAAGTTTCTGGAAGCTGGACCTCCCTATCTGAGATTCTGCAAATCGTTTTGTCTGAGAATGGAGTTGAATAGAGCTAAAAGAAGCAGCCCTTGGAGTCACAGCTGACTGAAGAGTACTAGAAGAAGTCAAGGTGCTTCCTGAAGCTACATTTTCATTTTCAAATGCTTTTTGCATATTTTGAGTAGATGAAACATCTGAACTTGAAGCCTGATCATCCTAGAATTTTAAAACCATATAAATTAAACTATGCAAATATCAATATTATTATAGTTTTAAATTGTGCAAATATAAATGTCAGACATCACATAGTTATCAGTTACTGATCAAAATAATGTGTGTGTGTGTGTGTGTGGCATAGACAGTTCAAGTTAAAACCATCATGCAGATAAGCTTACCTGATGATTTGTTGGCATGAAATTAGTGCCTGGGAGTTCCAGTCTAGGATATTGGGAGTCCCCATCATTGCATTCTACATGAAATAAAACCCATCAAAAATAAAAATAATCAAAGATGTCCTATGATGGATACATTAAACCCCCAGTCTAGCAAACAAATAACCAGTCCAGAGCTAAGGAAAATCAGGAAGCGATTGGAAGAATTGCACACGTATAACTGCTGAAAAATGAGGAAATACTGGCTAGCATCCAGAGTTTGAACCCTCCTAGCCAAATTAAAAGTCGTCAGTTTTCCCTGGGTCAGACTGAAGCAATTCATACCAGTATACCACCCAAAACAAGAAACCAAGTGGCAAATCATTCCTTTTTACGAAGATACAGAATAACTAGTTAAATCAATCTCGCCATTTTGGGAGCAAATAAAAATAAATACAAACATATCTATTTGAAATTAACAGGACAGCTTAGACAAACACGCCCTTTGAATATTACAAGTATCAAATGAACTTGGCTAATCAACAAATAAGTTCAGCAATTGAAGAGAAGGATAGAAGAGAAGAAAGGGAGATGGTAGAAAAGAAGAGAGTTCAGTTTGAGAGAGGAACAAAAGTATGAGGCATCTGCCTTTATATATGCTTGAATTAAAATTGCAAAAGAAGTGTGGAAAGGTATGGGAGAGGTAGGATTATTATTGGCTAATTAAATTATTTAACAAGATAATGAAACAAAAAGGTGTCTGATGAATGGAGAAAGAGTATTGTGCTGCATATATTTAAGAACAAAGGTGATATACAAAAATGCAATTACTATCATGGGAATATGGGATTAAACTCATGAGCAAGTATATCAGATAACCAATTTGGGTTTATATCTAGGAATAAACAGTGGAAGCTATCTTTCTTTTGAGACAATTGATAGAAAAGTCTAGAGAGAAGAAGATAGATCTTCATATGGTGTTCATTGATCTAGAGAAAGCATATGATAGAGTCCCTAGAGATATAATATGGTGAGTCTTAGAAAAGAAAGGGGTTCCAAATAGGTATGTAGACTGAATTAAGGATATGTATGAAGGTAAGGACCAAAATATCAAAACAGGTCAACACACTGGATGGGGCGTATCGCCCTGTATCTTTGGCCGCCTTTTAATTTTCTTTTTATTTTTAGTTTTTTTTTAATTGGTTCAGGGAGGTCCATTTAAGGCCTGTCTACCCCCTGAAACAGGTGGGAGCCCAAAACACTCAGTGTAGGGGCATATCGAAGGGTGCAACAAACAATGTTAGAGCACCAGTGGGAGAGACATCAGATTTTACAGTTACCATGGGTCCTCACCAAGGTTCAGCACTTAGCCCTTATTTATTTGCATTGATCATGGATGAATTTACTAAACATACTCAAGAGGAGGCCAATGGTGCTTGTCATTTGCTGATGATATTTTTTTTAATTCATAAAACTAATGAAGAATCAAATGCAAAATTAAGTTTTTGAACAAATATCTCAAAAACAAGAGATTTTAAAATTAGTAGGACTAAAATAGAATATATACTACATAAATTTAATAACTATAGGAATGCAAATCGGGATACATTTTGGATTGGAGACTAAGAGATAACTCAATGTGACCTTTTCCAGTACCCTGATTCAATATTTTATAACAAGGGATAGATTGAGGAGGATGTAACCTATAAAATTAGAGCAGGATGGGTAAAATGGAGGGGTGCACTGGATTCTTATGTGAAAGGTGGATACTACTTGGGTTAAAAGGGAAATTCTATAAAACAGTTGTAAGCCCAGCTATATTGTATGGAGCCGAGTGCTAGGCAGTCAAGAAACATGTCCAAAAAAACTGAGTGGTAGAAATGTGTATGCTGAGATGTGTGAGTGGAAAAACTACCAAGGATAGGGTCAGAAATGAAGTCACTGAGAGGAACCTAAGAGGCTAGGAGTAGCTCCAGCCATCCAATAAGTAATAAAATGAGAAAAAGTAGACTAAGATGTTTTCGTCAGAAATGAAGTCACTGAGAGAAACCTACTAGGAGGCTAGGAGTAGCTCCAGCCATCCAATAAGTAATAAAATGAGAAAAAGTAGACTAAGATGTTTTCGTCACATACATAGAAGACCACCTACAGCACCCATAAGAAGAAGCAATCTGTTACAATCTGAAGGGGCTAGAAGGTTAGGGGTGGAACAAAAAGGACATGGATCAAAAGTAATAAGAATGATTTAAGCGTCCATAATTTAATAATGCATATGACAACTTGACTTAAAATTATAGAGAAAATGACCAGAATACCCATGGTCATACAGTACAGCATAGATATGGATAACATATGAATAGAACAACAACCTCTGAACAAATAGAGTTTTCTGATAAGCAGTCAAAATCACAGAAGAAAAAGATGCTTAACTGCTCAATATATAACTAATGAGTGATAGCTTTCAAATCATGAAGAGAAATCAGGTTAACCCACCAAAGGGATAAAACAAAAACAGAAAGTAATAATAAAAAAAGAAATATGCATATAAAAAGCATCACAACCACAGACAACCAAGTGGTGATATAGGGTGGATGAACATTGTTTGCAGGAGAAAGGGAGTGACTGGCATTAGTTGAATAAGTGGAATTCTTAGTGAGACAGAATATATTAATAAAAAAGGGAAAAAAGTAAAGAAGGAAGGAATCACTCTTTGTACCTATGCAAACAAAAATTGCAGTATTTAACTTAAAATTACTAAAAAACACATCTTCAAATTAAAACAAAAAAGAACAAAAAGGGGTACCCGTGCAGGATGGCAGATCTGCACCAACCGGAAGTTGTGTGGGCAAAGCAGGAACTTGCTGATTGTGATGCTTCAACTGGTTTCTGTTTAGTGTTTGGTTCCAACTCTCATTCCAGTCCTCAGATGCAGTTTCTGCATAGGAATTGTTCAAAATCTTGATATATATCATGTTGTAGTGGGAGGTATATGGCAACAAAGGTACATAATCCAATGAGTAATCCCAAAATTTAAAAAACGGTTCCTATGAACTAAAGACAATCAAAAAAACGCCAGCATAGAAAGTAATGCCAAAGGTAAGCACTTCAGGATTCAGACTCAAAATCTAAATTTTAGCTGCATTCAGTATCATCTATTTTTCTTTTAAATGATATAAAAAAAAAAATTCATATTGAATGCAGCAAAAGTTTACCCCTCTTTGAAAAGCACTACTTAATACTCCCTTTTTTATGTAGGGGAAGTAGATATACTGAACCAATAGTTCACCTCTCTTTTACAAGCAGAGACAATATTTTAGTTTAAAAGCACTATTTAAAGACACAATACTAGTTATGCACCAAACTCTTCTATAATATGGAAGGACAAAAAGTACAGAATACAAATTTTTCTTTTAGACTCAGTTTGGGAAAAGTATAAATACAAATATGTAGTATGTAAATACAAGGTTTTAGAAATACAACATACAAGGTTTTGCACTGTACATAGTTGTATTTGCACTCTTCCCAAACTGAGCCTTACAAACAAAAATTTGTTAGTTCTTCCTTGGATGCTACAAGGGATGTCAAAATGGACTCACTACATAAAATGTTATCATATTATAAATGTAAGTATGCAAACAAGAACATTTTTATATGATTTGTAGGTTAGTTTAAACCAGAAATGACTCGTATATGAGATATGACCATGTAGAGATATTGTTAAATAAACATATTTTCTCAATACAAGGGGTATTATAATTCTCCCTGAATATTTAATATAGCAGTCGGTCAACTTTAACTAAGATTTTTGTCTCAAACCTCTCACTTATCTCTTCTTCCTCCTCGTTAATATTAATCAAAACCTCCAGAACATGGAACGGGAGAAAACTTCAAGAGATCATTCACCTTTTTTTCTGAACTGAGAGAACAAAATGCCAGCATCTTTACTGTTGAATATGTTAGTCTTTTCTTGAGTTTAGTGCCGCAGGGGCACATGTGTAATTTTATCTTTTTTATTATTAGAGTGGGTCGCCCTAATATAAATAACAAAAAGGCTGGCGACATCATCTTATGTTTTTGACTCCAAACCTCTTTTCTCCTTTTCTCTCTTCTACCTTCTCTCTTCTCCCTTCTCTTCCCTCACTGTTCTGACATTCTCACGTGGGTTTACCAAGAAAACATGGTATCAGAGCGACAGATCTGTGTTTAGGAGCAGTGTGATTAGTACTTTTCTTCCTCCAGTTTCTTTTTTTGTCTATTGTGGATCAAATTCAAAGAAAAGGTACATCTGGTTGGTGTGAGGAGACTTACTGTGTAGTTCTTCCTCTTCCTTCTTGGTCGTGGGCCCAGAAAACACCAAGGGAAGGGAAGCCAAATGCTGTGAAGGACTGAAGGGTGTTCCCGATTTTTTTTCTCTTTTCTGTGGATCGATTGATCCTTCTGTACCCGGGTCAGTGGAGTATGCAGGTCTAATGACCTGTGGCTACTGTGAAAGTGTTTCCTCTCAGCCTATGTGGATCGAGTGATCCCTCTTTGTGCCCTGAAAGGTGGGCTGTTCAGGTAACTTCTGTGACAGCAGTTTTTTCTTGATTACTATTAAAACTACAATGGTCGGGTGGCAAAAAGATCGGTTAATTATTGCTTGAAGGGACTGGTCAGACCTGATATTGATATTTTTTTACATCTGAACTGGTTTAGTAGTGTGGTAATCTGAGAACAAGTGATGTGTGATCAGATTTGATTATGCTGTGTGAGAACAAGAACTAATTTGTGCCTAGAACTATGACTGGACTGAGATTTAATATCTCTTGGCAATAAATCCGATTGAAATATGAGGAAGTAGAGAAGAGAAGGGAAGAAGAGAGAAAAGGAGAAGGAAGAAAGGAAGAAGAAAAGGTTTGGAGCAATAGAACAGTGCTGGCGGCGCCAGCTTCTATTATATTATATAGGGCGGCAGAAATAAGA